GACGAAAGCATACAGAGCTTCATTTTTGGCCATGACGCGCTGGGAGAACCTCAGCGAAGAAGACGAGGCAGGTGGTACAAACTTATCTATCATGTCATGTTTCGCTCCTACCATACCGTTACAATTTGGCATGTAACCTTGTACCAGGCCAACTGGTGCTGGACCGCCAAAGACTATTTGCGCCAGCACTGTGCCCTTACAGTGAAAACACCAGCCTGTAGCTTAATTGCAGCTGCTTCTGCTTACTTAGCTTTGCGCTGCTAAATCTGAGCCTACCAGGTTGGATTCCTCCGCTTCGCGGTCGTTTGGCCCCCAGCTGCAGCAGTACTGTTTGGTTCTGCAGCACGTAGTTTCGCTCTTGTCCGCGCTTCCTGCTGTGCTGGCTGTTGCTGTTCCCGCTGTTCTTGCGGCCGCTGTTCCTGTCGCTGTCGCGGTTGTTTCTGTTGTTGTTGTTGTTGCTGTTGCTTCTGTTGCTGTTGCTGTTGCTGGATGCGGCTGCTGCTGTTGCTGCTGCTGGTGGTGCTGCCGCTGCTGCTGCGGCGGTTCTTCTTTGCCGCCTGTCCTTCTTTGTCGCCTGTCCTGCGTTGCTCATTCTGCCTTGTCAGGATGAGCCGGTGCGCGACGAGGCTCGTGCGCCAAAAGCTTGCTCTAGACTCCTCCACTCCATTCAATTGCACGTTTGTCTTCAGAGTCTGCAATCGACGTTTTGCTACTCACACTGGCAGGAGAGGCGTATGGAAGTGGCCTGGCCGTCTTCCAAGGTACCCGCGCAACAGCCCCTTCATGACCGTGTGGCGAATGTATCAAATGATCGCATGCCATGCAGCCAGTCCTTTACTGCTGTGCTGGCGCCAAGCAGTAAGTGGAAGCTTGGTCTCCAGGGCTCCAACTTTTTTTTGCATGCGTTAACAAGTTGCATTGTCACCTTCTGCAGCCTCTCTCTACGGCTTGTCGGTTTCATGTTGTGAGCTTGCGCGCATCTGAGGCCAACGTCGACGCAGGTCGTGTGAATGCTAGTTTGATGTCCGTGTGCAGCGGGACTTAGCTGTTGTGACGCTGGGGTTCAAAAAGATTTGCCCACTTCCTGCTTTGGCAACCATGCTGAAGCGTTGCTTCTTTTCCATTTGCTTGGACACCAGTTTCATTCAGCCACACTGGCGCAACGTTGCCGCCAAGTTCTTGTCGCTGTCGCGGTTGTTTCTGTTGTTGTTGTTGTTGTTGTCGTTGTCGTTGTCGTTGTCGTAGTAGTAGTAGTAGTAGTAGTTGTTGTTGTTGTTGGTGGTGGTGGTGTTGTTGTTGTCGTCGATTTTAGCATGTTGTTTGTTGATCATTGTTGGTCGTCGTTGTTGGTCGTCGTCGTCGTCGTCGTCGTTGTTGTGGTTGTTGTGGCTGTTGTTGTTGTCGTTGTTCTTGTTGTTGTGGTCGTTATTGCTGTTGTTCGTGGTGGTGGTGGTGGTGGTGGTGGTGGTAGTGGTAGTGGTTGTGGCTTTTGGTGGTTCGTGTTTGTTCGTGTCTTTACAAAAATTCTTTCGCGTTGTCCCGCGACAACACAAGACTCCCACCGTTTCACACGGGATCACAGCACACCCGACACGGGAACCGAAAACACCGGACGCGAAAACCCGAAACACCGGAGACCTAAACGCACCGAACGCGGGAACCGAAAACATCCGCGCTTTTTTCCCTCTTCAACGCAAGGCGGGAACCGAAAACACCATCACAGGAACTGAAAACACCCGTGGGCACTGAAAAAACCGAGCCGGGCACCGAAAACACCGCCGCGCGGGAACCAAAAACCCACTTGCGAACCAAAAACACCGCGGGAACCGAAAACACCAACGCGGGAAGAAAAAACACCGCGGGAACCGAAAACACCAATCCGGGAACCAAAAGCCCGGAGCCCTGATTGACCGCTGATCGTCAACCAGGGTGCCCGGTCTCAACTGACCCATCGCGATACAAGTGATGTGGGGAGTTGACCCATGGCACAGTGCACCCACCTATCTGGAGCTCTCGACCTGACCTGTTCTTCTTTTGCCATTGGCTAAGAGTGACAAGCAAATTCATTAAAACACAACTCTAATGCTGAGACCCAATTGAATCCGATTTCGTAGAGCGTCTTGGAGCGTGTTTTTGACCTGGGACACAGGTCATTTCAATTGCCTGTGTGAATGTTCATGCGCTCTTTGAAAGGCCTTGAACAGTATTTGGTCTCTATCCTCCGTTAAGTGAAGCCAACCCACGAGAACAGGAGCCGGATTTGGCCCGAGTCATCTCAACTAGAACTCGAGTCATGCACCGAGTCCTGCACAACTACCACCTCTACCAGGTCCGTCCGACTTCCTCTCCGTCGCCACGGTCGCCTCTGACGTCGCCACAGTCCGATCTGCACTCCACCAGATCCCTGGCCGGGCGGCCGGCAGGATGTGAGCGGCATGCCGACCATTGGCCTGCCCGTGGAGTGGGGCGGCTTTGGCTTCGACTATCGTGGCTTGGAAGAGAAGCTGGAGACGAGGGGCAGAGACGATCGTCTGCTTCTTCGCTTCGTCGTTTTGGAGGTCGCAGATTCGTCGTATGCGACCGTTTGCTAAGAGCAAAGACCGGAGTCGTTGGACACGTGGCTTACGTCAGCATTAGACCTCAGAGAGCGAAAGATATTTGTGGGCGGCACCCTGCAGCCACCAGCACTCAGGCTCCAAAGAGCACAGAAGGCATCTCTTCCTACACTTGAAGTAAGAACCCCAATGGCTCCCGCTATCTGGGAAAACACGTCTTTAGGTGGGAATGACTTCGGTGGTGCGAGCATGAAGGAGCATTTGATTGGACTTCCAAGGAAGCAAGTTTCAGGATACTGTTCATTGCATGACAGGCTTCCCCCCTTAGCTGCTGTGATTGCCTAAGGTTTGGCAATGGCCATTCCCGATATGTTTATCAAATTGCTGAAGGCTGGCAGCTAAGTCTGTTGTTTTTCAGGTGGGGTCCGCGGAAGGACAATCTGAAAAAAACACGACGACGTCGGTCGTTTCGTCGAAGAGCAGTCCGTTTCTTTCAACCTGTGAGCCAGGCTGTGTGTGTGTGTGTGTGTCGGGAGCGAACGGCAATTCTGGGAACATGAAGAGAAACTGCTGGCTTTGGGATATGTCGATCATGATGATCATGTGCTAAGAATTTGCTTTATACTTTGCTGAAGACTGACATGGACCCTCAAAATAACCATGGGTTTGTAGACTCTTGTAGACAGTCTTTCAGGGTGCCATTCTCAGGTCCATGTGAGTTTTTGGGAGTGTAATCACGAGTGATGCTTGCGGCGACAGAACTGTCTTTTTTATCGTTTTTTTACATATAAAATATATGTAAAACGTGCAAACACAAAACAGTATTCGATTGGATTGGGACGTGGTGAACCTCTTTGTGCTTCCGGTCTCGTCTTTCGGCTGCACTTTTTGTTCATGTTTTCGGTTCCGAAACGAGCCACACCAGCGACGCGAGCGACACGACCCGGCGGGTTCGTCCGCCCGAAACGAGTCATGCCGATTCGTCGGGCGATGTCCGGTCGGGCGAAACGGGGCGTCGGTGACTCGTTTAACCTTACGTACTTGGCCACGTGAATGGTCCTACCCAGACGCTCCGTTCACAGCCCTTTCCCGGTCCCTCAAAACCGATCGGGATTGGTGAGAAACCCGAGACCCCTCCATATGAGGGCCCAGGGTCGCGTCTGGGTAGAGTCCCTCCTACTAGGCCGGGGTAGTTCCGTTGTTTTCCTGGGCGAAAAGACTACGGTCTCTACCCTTTTCGGTCAGTCACCGAGCGGCGAGAAACCACGGCACCGGTGGATGGTCGGACAGAAAAAGCTTCGGCGGATGGCTTGGGCAGTCACCGGGTGGAGACGCGGATGTTCGGCCGGCCATGAATCAACGCGGCGCAGGAAGTGGGCGATGACAACTGGGACATGGGCCACATTTGCTACACGTCTCCTGGCACGAAGCTCTCGTCGCACGGCACCGGAGGACCCGAGCCGGGAGACCGAAGAAACTGGAAGACGAACTGGAAGCTTCCTCTACGAACCCAATGGTTTTCAGGTTCCATGATGTTCCAATCCTCCATGAGTGTATGGAAAGGTTTCCTCGGAACGGTTTGGCACAGGTGGTTCGGTTCCCGGTTCGGTTCGAACCCTCCGTTTTTGGGCTCCCGAGATCGACCATGGAAAGGGGAACGAGCCGGTGTTGTAGTGCAAAACTCTTGCTCTTGGCCTGGCGGTGTAATCCCAAGAGCAGGAAATACTATAAGAGAATGATAGGCCCAAAAATTAATGGGCCAATATTTATTATTTATTATCTGCATTTTTCAGTAAAACCAATGGTTGTTCCGGAAGATCAGTTTAACAGGCTCCTGGATTAAAACCTCCCATGCCGCCTCGGCCGTCTCTCACCAAACGCCCCGTCCGAGGCTCACGAACCGACGACATCTGGAGAAGGACCGGGGGAAAGGGACTTGAAACAGCACAACGGAAGGCCCAAAACTTGCGATGTGGCTCCAGGGATGGCAGCAAAACCGAAAAAACACCATGGTTTTTGGTCTTTTGCCATCGGTCTGACAAGATGTCCAACTTCGTTTAAGAGTTTGTTTTTGGATCTTTGACCGAGTTTGGAGGAGAACGAGTTTCACGTGCTTTCACTTGCTTTCATCCCCCATGTCTGGATTCCTCCTCGTCTTTACGCCAACCAGCTAAGCCTGCCCATGTAGACGGCTCAACGAGGGGATCCTCCCGGGAGTGGTACAAACCACAGGTGGTGGCCTATGCCGAGTCTCACGACCAGGCGATTGTCACTCGTCTTGGAGCGTACCAAACGAGGGTCTCGTCATGAAGAACGCATGACCCTGAGTTCGACTCGGATGAGTGAAGAACGAAGACCACAGGTGGGTGCCATTCACATAAGCAGAGTAAGCAGTCATTGAAACGATATCGTGTTTCCGAGTGGTACATCTGATACAGTCGAGCCTTTCAAAACACGTTCCATTCCGTGGAGTGACCACCCAAGGGCTGGCTTGTTTCGCCCACCGACCCCCCCAGCTCTGTTGCGCTTGCTCGCTCGGCTGAGGTGGGTGACAAGACATTGGCCTTCTGGCTGATGGATGCCGCGATGTACACGGACATGAGTGCCTAAGACGCGACATTGGAGTGGGGGAAAGGAGGTGAAAGGTGTTCTACTCTAGGACCCCAACAGGTCTAAGTCTGGTGAAATGCAGACTTCAAGGTCGGCGCTCCAACCAGCCCGACCGGTTCCACCTGTTCTATCTGTCGCTCCCACGTGTTGTGGGAAGGCCTTAGACACGCTGGTCTAATGGCCATGGTTGCAGCAAACGAATTTCCCTAAACAACCGAGACCCGGGGAAGGCCTCATCACGACCAAAATGAATTAAGTCACGTCCAACAGTCAGCGGGAGAAATATCCCACGTTTTGAGGCTCTGATTCTTTCCGTCAAGCAGCAGATTTGCAAACATCTCAAGCTCAGGATCCGTGAACAAGGGCCTGGCGCACCTGATGGAACCTTTAGGAACAGCACGCCCACATTTATGAGCCCATGTGGAGTCATGGACCCCCGGAATCACCTTCTGGGAAGGTACTGCAAAAATAATCCCCGCAGCTCGCTTCAGGACCTTCTGAACTTTTGCAACTGTCGCATCGGGTTCCGGAACTTTCTCGAGCGCCCTCTTTTGCCGACAAAAAAGAAATGCAAGTTCAATGTATGAAACCGAAAATGTTTCACCTTCTCGCCAACGCAATGAGGTCCAAAATTCAACAATGCAAGAAGCATCTATCTGACCAAAAACTTTGGATAACTCGGACAGGACTTCCGAATCATGCAAAGGTATCCAGCTAAAATGAGCCGAGTCCGCCTTCCACGGCCAAGACGGAAACCGTCGACGCACATCAAATGCTTCTGATGTAGGACAAATATCCTCCTTCGTGACAAAGAAGTTTCGAATATTTATATCGGTCCCAATAGACTTGTTCAAGAATGCCAGCTGAGATTGTCTTTGGAAGACATCATATTCAAGTTGCCTAAAAACCCGAGGGTGGACGGGTGCATGCTGGAGGGCACATTCTCGAGCTTTCTCGTCCGCCACCCTGTTGCAGCGCAAGTGTCGAAGGGGGATGTTATGAATGGCGGCAACCTCCGCATTTATCTCATCAAGGGGAAGATCGTCGCACTTGTGCGCAGGGATCCACTTGAGAATAAACGGTTCAACAGCCACAGCAGAGCGGGTGTTCCATAGATGAAGAAGAACATTCCACCACGCACTATGGCTCCACGTTGGATCGACTCTGTTGCAGGCCACCATGTCTGCAAAAAGTTCAACCACAGTCAAGCAGTCAGTGAAAATGCAAACATGAGCAGGGGTCTTGGCCACTGCAACAAGAATGGCGAAAAGCTCCGCCGCGTATGACGAAATACCTGGGTGCAAAACTCTACCTGAAGCAATGCATACCTCGTTTGCATCAACGACTGCGTATGCTGCTGTTGCAAGCCAAAAGTAGTCCGCGAAGACCACACTGCCATCAGTCCATCGCTCCGTCTTCGGAAGATGCGGTTGGAATGGCACCTCTTCCGAGTGCATCCAGGAAGTCCACCTGAGCCGGTGAGCAACGATGGCAGGGGGGTGCTCAACAATCCCGAAGTTGGCATAATTGGGGCCAAGATCATGGGCAGTGCATTTGCGCAAGTGCTCAGGGCAATTAGCACACTCTTGAACAATGTGTTTAAGTGACTCCTTCACGGAGTTGCAGTACCTACAAAGGTTCGTCTCTGAAAAACCCGCAGCGAAGCGCCGATCATTTGTAATCGTACACCCTACCAACTGTGATTCAAAGAAAGGAACAAGATTTTCCTTGGATGCTCTAGGCGGGTTATATCGCCGCAGGAAAAGCCGAGAAAGTGCAACATCCAACATGCCTGAGGGTCTATTCAGGTCTTTACGTGGCTTAAACACAGAGGATTCATAGCACGCTTGCCGCCCAAGAGTATAAAGCAGCTGCTTGATGTCTTTAAACGAAACCTCGATGATCGGAATACGAACATCAGCAATACCAAAAGTCATGTCCTCAAACAAACTGATATGGAAGATCCGCAGGGCTTCCGACACTGAGTGCAACAAAGAGTGAGGGTGGCTCACACTTCGACAGAAAATGGTCTGAAGAGTGCCAAGCATAGCAGGGTATGCATGCACAAACCGCCAAAAATTTCTGATAGCATTGAAAGCTCTAGCTACTTTTGGGTCCACCAGGCATGGTTCAGCAAGAAGGGACAAAACTAACATTTTCGAGCGCCAATGTGGGCGGTTCTCCCATAAGGCAGTGACAATGTCAGTTTGCAAATCGGTAACCGCTTTCTTGGTGAGATCTGTGAGCTCAGCGGCAAATGCACACTGCGGGATAATTTTAGCAGCAATGAGTTTGCTTTTGGTTTTCCGAGAAACAGGGAGTGCAGAAATGTTCCTGATGTCGGTTCTAATTTTGGCAATGCGTTCTGGAGAACAAGCCGTAGCATTCCTTTGGGACGTATAGATCTTAGCACCAAGTGCATCAAACTCTAAAGCCAAAGGGATGGCAGGGAAACAAGTCTTAGCCTGGCTCCGGGCACTTGTCGACGTGGCCCAGAGGGTGCTTTTGTCCGGATTAAGCTTCTGTCCAATCAGCAAGTTCCACTGCTGTGTGACATGGAAGGCAGTTTGGAGATGGTGAAGATGCTGTATTCGAACCCACAAGTAAGCATCATCAATGAACACCCTGCAGGTAACATGTGGGATCAGGGAAACAAACTTCACCCAAACAGCCATAAACGTGTTGATTGCAAGAAGTGAGAGACTACATCCTTGCGCAACACCATTTGCACACGTCGAATGCTGTTTAGAAACCCAGCCCCGATAGGATAAATGCTTTTTGAGACCAACATAGGTCTTCAGGAACACATTAACAACTCCTTTGGGCATCCCAAAAGCTAAGAACAGAACTCCTGCAATGGCCGGAACAATACGGTCAAAGCATTTGGACTGGTCAAGTTTTATGCCAACCAAGTCAGTTTGATCACACATTGCCTGATCAATATCAAGGCGAATGCCCACTGAAACAGAGGCCATTGTTCGGCCTTGAATGCCACCACACAGCTGCCTGGGCAAACGAGATCTTTGCCACTCCTGAAGATGGCGAAAACGTGTACCTGAGTAAGCAAGCAATAACGGCGACATGACGGCAATGAGCCTCTTATTCAATGGAGTTGAAAGACCAGGCTTGTTTAAAATGATCTGCTTGGCCCGAACAAGGACATCAGGTATGGATGACTCACATTCAGTTTCCAGCCTATTGAAAAAGGCGGCAATGGCTTCGCAACACGTCAAGGGCAATTTCTGTAAATCAGAAGTGCGCCACCCATCAAGACCAGCGGCTGCCAACGGATTTCTGTTCTGGATTGTCTGGAGGATGTCCGCACCCGTCAGCGCAGCAAGGGACCAGGGCTCAACATCATGGTCAAGGTATGGCCAAACGACACGCAGTACATGGAGCGGCTCTTCGTGAGATACATTCGCACTAAAGATATCATCCCATTTATCATTGATGGCAGCAATGGCATGCTGGGGGTGATAAATGATGTTACCATCGGCATCATGGACAAGGTTAGGAGGTTCATCACAGGATTTATTTTTCAAATGGTGATAGATGAATTTCATCGTGCCCTTTTCGGCGGTTTGGATCTTATATTTCCATGCGGCAATGCGCTTCTGCTTACATTGCACAACCCATGCCTGAGCCTCGGATCGGATCCACGTGAGATTTGCATCAATTTCCACGAGAGAAGGAATCCCTTTATGGGTCCAGGCAAACGGTGATTCAAGAACCCTTAGAGCACGTCTACATTTCAGTGCGGTCCTGAGTGAAATCATCTTATCGGTGGCGGTGCCAACAGGCCTGCTAACACGAGTGAAGAGCTCACTCAACCTTGACAATGAGTTGTGGATTTGCGAACCACGACTTGTGGTAGCGGAGCCACATGGAAGTTGTCCAGGGCAAATGGTCTTAGTCGAGAATTGAGGAAGGGAGCCCCTCAAGCGCTTCCCAAAACCCCACTTGGCACCAGCACCAACAAGTGTATCAACACACAACGAATTTACCTTGGTCCAAAGTTTCTCCAAAGACAAGGAAGACCCAACAAACTCATCAACCCATGGGCAAAGATTTTTGGCAATGTCATCAACCCAATGGGAATCACGAGAACCACCCTTGGGGAGGTGTGAAGTGTCCAATGCAGCAGTTTTAACATGGACATCGCCCGTCAATGAAATACGGTTCCAGGAAAACCAAGCGCGAATGGGTCGATGCTGGGATCCAGTGCCCGCAATCACTTGGATGTCGACCAAAGCTGCATGTGCAACATGGTTGACCAAGATTGCATCAATGGAAGAACAACCATCCCCACTCCCTGCAAAGGCGGCATCAAAGGAGAAAGTCAAAGGTCTAAAAAGGTCACCGTCTTCAGTTACCTCCTGTAGGGGATCCGCCCACCTGTGAAAGTGAACTGCATTAGAAACAGAGGGGTAATTGGTAGGCAACGTTTGGAAGTCTCCGGCGATGATCAAGGGAATGTCCCCAAACTGAGAAACAATCTCAAAGATATCGGACAAAAGCTGGTCATTTTCCAAAAGGATATCGTGGTTGGCGGAAGCCCCGGACTTAGCATAGACCGAAAAAACCAAAGCCCGGACATGAGGGGAAATTTGAACCCAGCACGCGTTGGCTCTTTTGGAAGCAAAAACATCTTTGTATTTGCCCGTCAGGTCCTGGTTACAAGAAAAGGCAGTGACAATGGTTTCCGCGGCAATCAAAGCCGTGCCACCGTGGGTGGTCGTGTGGTGACCATCAGTCCGGATAATACCCGGCAGGAGCTCCCCACAGAACAGGTTCTTCCCACAGGATTGGACTTCTTTGGAGGCTGACCTAAAATTGTTACGGCCGATGCGAGTCTCTTGCAAACACAGGATTTGATCATCAGTATATCTCCAATGAGAGGATGTCTTGAGGCTGCCTAAGTTCATGGACGCCATGGACCACAAGGGCAGGCAACCATCCGTTGGACCCTCCCCCGGAAAGCCAAAGGTAGCATCAAAATCACACACTTCATGTCGAAGGCCACACCACCCAGCGTGACTCATCTGCAAACTTAACCAAGTGGTCAACCAGTGGAAAGTACTAGCGAAAAGAAGCGAAACGGTTCGACCCCTTTCAGCCGCAATGTGGAACTCATGTTTTCCGCTCAATGAGGAGCTGACGTAGCTCTTCTGGGAAAGTCGACGTGACAATGCACTAAATTGGCAAAGCCACCACTCTAAGCACGGCTGCACGAAAGCTGGACATGGCACCAGGCACACGGACAAAGAGAGACACACAAACGAGAAAAATCCAGTTGGCAGCAAGGCATGTGGTGGGAAGTCAAAAGCGCAAAGGAGCGGGAAAAACCCACACCAATGACAATGAGAAAATCCAAGAGGGAGAGCGCTCCCAATGTGCAAACAGGAAAGACGGAAACCAGCGAAAATCCACAGACAAACAAAGCAAACGAAAGAAAGCTCCCTCGTCAGGAGCAGCTCTCCCATCAGGAGTCAGGCATCATGTTTTGGAACCTTGGGGGCTGGAGATTCGCCCGTCGGTTCCCTGGCTCTAGGAGCATTAGCAGCTTGGAGTAACTGGCGAAGTGAACTGGAGATGTCGGAGAAGCGTTCATCAAATTTCTGCTCCATACGGCCTTGGCGGGATTCAAGTGCCTCGAATCTCTGCTCAAGCCTGTCAATCCGCTGGGATTCAGCGGAGGATGATGTGGGCACAAAATGCACACTCGGCTGAGAGATCTTCGGACTCGGACCGGCAACCTCAGAGATGCGGTTCTTCTTGGTGGCATTCTGCTGCCTCTGCAACGGCTTGGCAAGGGGAAAAGCCGACTCCTCAACCAACAAAATTTCGTATGTGTTGCCATTGATTTGTAGCGCAAACTTGACAGTTGTGGGCTTGGATTCAAAGGCTACAATCCAACCATGCACACCGTTGGCACGAAATGCTTTGGTTGGGATTGGAGGCAAACCAATCGCCTTGGTGATGGAGGTCACGACGTTGCCCGGATCGACAGCCGGGGGCCACCCGGTAGCACGGTAAGAATGCCTTGGGACAACACCGATATTGTCGGATGTAAGTCTCGGATCTGATGGAATCACAGCTTTCCTCATATAAGCAATGTTCGCCGTCCAAGACCTCACCGCGAGCCCACGTCGCGTCAAGACGATTCCAGCATAGCCACTCACATTCTTGGTCACGATAATTGCCTCATGCAATGCCTGTGGAGAGACCTCCCAGAAACGTGGGATAACGGAGAGATCTGAACTCTGGTTCCCATTCTCGATAAAGTCCCGAATCAACACCAAATGGGCCCCACTGGCCTGCAGCAACTTGCCTCTGTGCGCTTTGGGAGTTTTCATAATGCATTGATACTGCACATCCTCACGTCCGGCAGCGGGGTGTCGACCTTGGCGAAATGCATAGAAATGAAAACTCTCCTTCCAGTCAGGAAACTGCGAGATGATGGCCTCCTTGATGTACTGTAACGGATTGCGTTTTGCAGTCTCAAGTTCAGATGGTGACATCAGCCTCGAATCACATTCAAGCACAAGCTCAACGACTTCAACAGCGGTGAAAGTCACTTTTGCCTCCGGAAACTTGACGGTAACGTCTCCTTTCACCGGGAACAAGAGCACCAGCCGCTTGTACTCGGTCTTGAGGACCGGATCTGACAGCACAATTTCATGTGGGCCCTTGAGGCGTGCAGCAAAATCACCAAGCTTTGAGCGGTCAACGGACGGAATGAGCACAGCAAAGGCACCAACCGGGGTAATCCGAGACAAATCAGGCAAGGCACCCTTTGTCGCAAGCACAACTCCATGGCGTCTCGCTGACGCCTGGAGCTTATGAGTCTGCTCGAGTTGCTTTCCATCTGAATCATGCAGCGGGTGGTCACTAGGCAATAACAAGTCCTCCCAGCGGCTGCCGAAAAGCTTCTTGGGTTGCTTCCAAGGGTCGTTTGCGACAAGCGGATCAATCGGTCCGGATTGCGCAGCCGAAGACTCTGCATTTGACGGCTTGGATGCGGCTTCCGATGAACCTCCAGCAGCACCTCTATGAGAGTCAAAGAAACCTTGAAGCACACGCCCAAGAAAAGCGGTGCGAGCAGCAATGCAGAAGTTGGACAAAGCCGGATCAGCAAGACGGCGCCACTCATCATGCGATTCCTGCTGGATACGAGCAATCAAGTCATGGTGACGGGTGTTCAGCAGGGCATTTCGACAGGCAACAGAAGCATCGGGCAAGAGGATACCAGCACGCCAGTACAAGTCATAGACCAAGGACCAACCACAAAGGCCATGCGGCGAAGTCTGTGGGACATGAATGGCGTGGATGACCGAGGCATGGACTCCAAGGGCATTTGCAATGTAAACCACAAAACGAGGCAGGATCTCAATGAATTGGTTGTGGCAATGCACGAAAAGGGCATACCGTTCTCCTTGAGCGATGAGGTCAAGCTTGATCCAGGCTTCTTCAAAAATGACGAACCAAATCGAATGCTCATGGAAACGGAAATCGACCTGCCTGTCTTGGAAGAAAATCAAATCAGCACGATCGTCATGCCACCTGCCCGGTGGGGCAAAGAGGATCTGGTTGAACAACAGGCGCAAAGGATCAAGCAGAAAATTGAGCTCGTCAGAGGCAAGCCAACCTTCATTTCGTAGCAAGGCCTGCAAGCGGTCAACAATCGGGAAGCCAGGAATCTCATGATTGAACCCACGGAAAAGCCTGGTGTGAACAGTGGCAGCATCTGTTGGCCCAACAAAGCGCACACGCAAGGGTGTATCAGTCACTGGAACGTGAGGCGGAGCCGAAGCCATAGAGACAAAGAAGTGCCGGCGCAGCCGGAGGGCAACGCCACGAAGATCAACAGGTGCCTCATGCGTAATCCACTCTTCAATGGATGCGGCAAGCACTTCCTCGATGAGGTTCTTGTGGTAGATGGACAGGCGACGAAATCCATCATCCTGGGGAGGGAGTCGATCACTGACCCCAGAAGCAACAAGCCAACGACGGACCAAAATCCAACCGCACATGTGTGGAATGTCAGGCATACGAAGGTGGACATGCTCAATGCGTTGGACATTGATGTCAAGGATGCGTGCAATGATTTGCAAAGCTCGGAGAAGCATTGGTTGAGGAAAGCCGACAATGTTGACCTGTCTGACCCGGAACCCGTGAACTGGGGAGGAAAGTGGGTCATCCCACGGCGAAATCACCATGGCTTTTATATACTAAGGATTCGACATTACAGGTCACCTAGGATTCGATCGCCATTCTTTGAATGGTCTTCCCGGGTATTACTCGGCTCTTCGAACCATGCCACGGTGGGGGCACGGTGGGGGATCTGATGGTGGGCGGTGGACGGTGGTTGCGCCGCCCTGGTGTTGGTCAAACACACTCCACATGATGAACCAGGGCAGGCTCCAGATGGTTGGTTTCGACCCATCTCCTGCATGGTTGAGCTCCACTTGATTTCTCCCAAACCCACCACACCGTGGTTTCCATGGTGGGGTCCATTTCCAAGCCCGGGGGGCCCGGGGCCTTGTCCTGAGGTATTCACCAAAATCCTCACCACACCATGGCCGTGGACCGCGGCCTGGCGCTTCACAAGATGATCCGATTGCTGGTGCAGGGCCTGGGCGGTGCCTCGGACTAACATGGTGGAGGAAGGGTGATGGTGCTAAGTGGATGGCATTCTTTGACTCGGATGACCCCTGAGCTCGACTCGGCTGACCCTGGTCTTCGATCAGACCGAAGAGGGGGTGCCATCCACGAATTCCGCTGATGATTTCAGGGAGTGCACACGGGATGAACTCCGCCTGGAGCTGGGGGGCGGGGGCGGGTTGTCTCCCTGGAGACTCCCTGGCAGTCCCTCCAGTCCGCAGGGGTCTGGAGCCAAAGCCCCGCATGCTGGGCGCTCCGCCCTCTTTTGGTCGATCCGAAGAGTTGGAGCGAATCTGACGTGCAGCGACTTGACGTACATGTCCAACCGAGCTCGAGGACAGCGCTCGATCCTCCCCCCCCAGGAGCCAGAATTGACTTTGGAAGAACGATGAGAAAGAGATTCTTGACCCAAGGATGAAGAATCTCAAGGGTTTTTCCCACTTCGGAAATTGCACTCAGCGGTTTTTTCTCATGCACCTGGAGAATCTGCCCACAATTTCTCTGCATGCAATGGGAGTTCTGCGGATTTGCCAAGGAGAGGGCTACTTGAACTTCATGGGGAACGAATTCGGCCACCCCGAGTGGGTCGACTTCCCTCGCCCCGAGAATGGCTGGAGCCACCACCATTGCAGGCCGCCGTGTTTTTCTTTTCTTTTCCGCACCCCGGGAGAAAAAGGAGGCACCGGACGAGGCCAAAGAAAGATGTCAATGTGAACTGGGTGCCAGGACCCGAGTGACCTGCCAGGTCACCGACTTTGAAGTCTGGATTTTCAACTAGTAACAAGAAGCAATTAGGTTGGAGGCCATTGCTATTAGGTTGGAGGCCATCGCTACTAGGTTGGAGGCCATCGCTACCAGGTTGGAGGCCATCGCTATTAGGTTGAAGGCCATCGCTACCAGGTTGGAGGCCATCGCTACTAGGTTGGAGGCC